TTTACAATATGAATATAATGAATGAATACAATGTTCCAGCTGGACTTCAGAAAAGTTAGTGTGCCTTTAATCTTAATACTGCATTAAACCTTTACTAAAAATAAGAATAAATTAACATCTTTTTACACCATTAAGCAATTAAGCATTCTAACATTAGTAAACAAGAGATTAACGTGTTAAAATAAGATTATATTTTATTCAAAAGCATAAGATAATGTAATGTTATCAAGTGTAATTTTCTTTTTTGAACTTACCTGGATCACATACACAGACATTTAAAAACATACCTAGTTTTTTAGTTAATTGCGATGCTTCAGTAAAATACAAGACTAATACATAAAAAAGATATAGATAAATTCTCCCCTCGCCCATTTGAAAGTGAAAGTATTTTTGTTTTTCACAGCCAGTTCATTTGACATTTAGGGCTTCTGACGTGACTAAGGTCAAAATGTTCACGCCGTCAATGGATCGCTTCACCTTTTGGCTCTTTTGGTATTCAGAGGATAGAGAATCTGTTATCGATTAAATGGTCGAATAAGGGGCCTGTCATGAGAAGTTGATGGAAGGGAGGTTATGTGTCGTTATAACTGTCCAATAGGTCTTTGCAACTGGTTTACTTTCACATTCATTACCAGGTTGTGTTTGCATATACACTTCAGTAAACACACTATTTTTTAATCCTCCATTTTTCAAGGTCAGTGGTTGTTTGAATGAGTGAATGCTTACAAATGTTGTTTCTCAATGCAAGTCAATTCAACCACATTGGCCACTCCATTCATAATTCTGAAACTTAAAGTAAGAGGGTTTGACAAAAATGCTAAACTGATCTGAGAAGGATAAAGTTAAAAAAAATAAAGGAAACATACGCAAATTATGTCACTTTTAGTAAATCTATCTCCATGGAGACAAGCAGGTGACAGCACTATGATTTTTTTATTGTGTAAGTTTGAATGACATTAATCAAATATCAGATCTAGTTCTACCTTGTAGGCAATTACTTTTTAATCATGATATGATGACTTAAAAATACAATGGAAACATTAGTATTGGTCTAATAACAAAAATATTAATGGAGGTGGAACATACATTGTGCTGACAATCGATGAGGGCAATACAAAGTGAGTTTAGATGGTAAAGATATAAGGCACACAAACAAGGCACAAAACATAGGCTCAATGCTTAGAACAAAGTAAATGATGCCTAATACATTTAAAGAACTAAGCAAATAACTTGTATTGATCTGAAACTATCAAATTATATTAAATATTCATATTCATATTGAAAAGAAATGTGAGTGATCTGCACATTCAAATGTCACTATTTACATACAAAGTCAAGATGCTCTTTGTCACTTTTCTGGTGGAGGCTGAGTCCCCTGGAGATATTTTGCATTGAGCATTATAACATTAAACTTAGCTTAGCTTCTCCGTGGCAAAAAGCAGGTGGAGGCACCAAGTCTAGATACAGCTCTGATCTGTGGAGAGGCAACCTTGGTAATAATGCCATGTTTGTTTGTTTTTTGCAATAAAATGCCATACTGTGTAACATTCAGAGCAATGCAGCAACATCTCCATGAAGGCATGGATTTATATCAGATTCTCCACCAAAAAAGTTACTCAGCGCACCTTTAACATTAATCTCAATGTTAAAAATACATACAGCTGAAAGCATTACTTTGTTTTACATTGTCATTTGGTTGAAATGCTGCCATTTCAAACCACTGGTATTATTTACATTTCAAGACAAGATATGTACAGACATTTTTAAGCAGTGATCATCAACTAAAGTGCAAATGGGAGTCACATTTGGTTGAGAATTGGAATGAAATAGAACATAGCAATAGTTTTATTATTTCAGTAATTTTGAGACAAATACAAGATCTCAAACAGTTTTCATTTTTTTTAATCTAAGAATTGTGCATTAAACAAACTCAACTCAAATACTGAAGCAAATATAACTCAAAAGAATACTCCTTATATTTCTTTACATTTATTGTAAACCTAATAAACAATAAACATGCTCATATAGTATTAATAATTTGTAAAGACTAGTTGATAATCACTGCTATACAATCATAAAGAAAGCCCTATAATACAGAGATCATAATACTACAGATTTTTATTTATTTTTTTACTGTAAACATGATTGACAACAAAACTGTTGCCAAAGCCCTCTGCCCGTTAGGTTACGTGACATATTGGACGAGTCACCACATGCCACTGGAACAAGTGAAAATCAGTGTGAGATTATATGTGTTTCATTGCGTTATACAGGTTGTTGTATATGCAGCATTTATAGCAAAAACCTGCTGAGATCAATGACACTGGGAGCAAATGTGCGAAAGTGCAGTTCTTTAACAGGAAATGAGCAATAAGACTGCTATCTGGGCTAAGTACAATGAAAGGTTTTATAGGCTACATCTCTTTTGTATTTAAAAAGAAAAAAAAATCCATGTCATGTTTTCTTTTAATTTTTTTTTTACAAATTGAACAGACATTTCTGAGCAGTGCATAGTTCAATTTACAGTAACATTTACAGTTAAAGCATACCCATGGATTTTGGAATGATCACAAATTTGGACCATTGCCATAGCAATTTCAAACAATATATCCTATTCACAATTTTTGAGTCCAGAATCACAAAAGCTAAACAAAATTTCTGTCCTATCTTTTTAATGGTAAAAAGTCCTTAAAATGTCACAGTTACACATGGAACCTATGAACAAGATTAGTAAACAAACATGGATTTAGACTCATTCTCTTTTAAAGTTATATTTTCATCATGATCCTCTGCATGATTTAAGTAAGCATAAGAAATACCAATCATGTACAAAACAAATGTCATCATATTTTTTGTTGTATTTTTATATAGAGGAAAGCATATGTACAGGCCTGAATACATTCGTGTATCAATCAACATTTCATCTTTTTAAATTTTCTTGTATTTTTACTGTAAGCAAATATAAAACAATATTTTTTTTGATGAAGAAGAAGAAGAATCTGCAATCTTCCCTATGTGTGTCATCTATAGATCACTTCGTTTTAATAACTTTGTGGATGAGAGTTCAGTTGTTGTTTAATATTTTAATACAGACTTCTAGCACAAACACTGCAACTTTTAATGTCATTCAACAGCTAACTCACCTTCCTTAATATGTTGCATTGTAAAAATACTGTATTTTGTTGCATTGTGTATTCTGCTTCTGTCAAAACCTGGCTCAAAAACAGCAATGTAAATTACAGTAAATACAACTTTCATACTTGGATCAGAGTACTAACATTATAGTGAGTGCCCTGAGAAAACCTCATGAGATGTCGGAAAAAATAATTAAATCAAACTAAAACTATGGTCCAGAAATGTTGAATTGTCAAACTCACTTCAAAAAATCCCATCATCTTATCCATTTGAACTGTTGAACAAAAAATAATTTAAAAATTATTTACAGTATTTACACATTAGTTTGTGCCTCTTATAGAGTATAAATGTTAAAGGTCCAATATCATGCAAATCTAGTTTTAGTGTTGTATACTGGAGCTGTGTTTTCCACTTTAAAATCCATTATGATTCTCTGTTTTATGAACTCCTGCCTTGTTTTGAGCATGCAAGTACTTACTGTAAAAGCCATAATCTATTTCTGTGTCATATGGTTACTGTTTGCTATGGCAATGTGGCATTTTAACAGGGGGAGGGGGAGAAGCCAGGTAGCAGCGCTTTTATAGGACTACAGTATTCCACACAGTTTGTGTACCTGCATTAAAGCCACTGTTTCTATTAAAGTGGAACTTAGCACCTAAACTCCAACCACAACCACATTTCAAATGCAGTTGAGCTCTACTTGGGCAATAGCCAGGCTGGCGCGACCTAGTGCCCCACTCAATTACATTTCTCTCCAGCGACTAGGTCAGGAATCGAAATACACTAGACGGTTTGCAAGAACCCTGGGAGTGTGAGTTCAGGCAACAGCCAATGAGCAAAGAGCCATATATTCTTGGTTGGCAACGATTTCCGCGTTCGAGGATTTAAAGCCGTAACAAAGAGAATGTTTGGTGAATTTTATTAAGGGGAAAGACATTATTGCCCTTCTTCCTACAAGATTTGGAAAAAGATTAATATACCTCGTTAGGAGCGCATTACATACGTCACAACCAAATAGCCGCGATTGGTTAAATTAAAAAAAGTACCTGCCTACTGTCGAGCAAACGAATTCTAATGCTGCAAGGTCAGACGGATTCCATTAAGTGAAACCGGCTGGTGAATCAGGTTACCTGGGCACTACCTGGTGGACTAAAGGAGGGGCAGGGCCTGGATGTATAAGAAAGTGTGATTGGTCTAACAGGTATCCCCCTGGCTGTAATCAGGGGCAGTAGTTTCTTACCCAGAACTGTTGGATTTTATGAATCTATCAGTCGTCCTGTTAAACTGCACCGAGACCTTTGACTGAGACACAAAGTCGACTCAGACGTGCAGTGTAAATGTTGTAACAATAGTAAAACTCGAATTTGCCTCGACATCAATAAAGTATCTCTTGCTCTCTCTATACATACATTAAAACACCTAGAACAGCTTGTAGTTAGCAGTTAGTAGCAAAGTTGATTTAGAGTTTAGTCCCACTTTAAATAAATAACATTTTGCACAACAACTTGGGGTGGTTGTAGCTCACACTGCCCTCCCCTAGCGCAAATATCTGACAAATATTTCATGATAAGCCAGCAGGTATTTTCTATTTTCTCTGTAAGATAAAGAAATTCCAAGGTTAAAATGTCAAATGTATTTAAAAAGCATCACATATAGAACCTTTAAAACGTATGAAGGAGTGCTAGTTGGATCATAGTCTAGTATTGTGCGTGCTGCTCAACCATCTCTGAATACATGTGCAGTAATCCCTATTCCTATGTGAATACAATCAAATATTTCACTTAAATAGCTGTGACCTGCGTTAAACCCATATCATTGGAGTCCTCCCAGCCCTGATATCTGGAGGAGATCGTATTCATGGCTAGTCATACGGGCCTAGGCTGTCTACCACTACCATCTCTCCTGCTGCCATCTGCTGGACAGGAGTGGTCTCTCAGGGTGCTTCGGACTCTACTCACCCCATGGAGATCCCCCTGTCCTTGAGCACCAGGACAGCAAAAGTCCCTGAAGCATCTCTTAAAATTCTCATCCAAAAAAGCGTACAAAATCGGGTTGAGAGAGCTGTTAGTGTAGCCTAGCGCCACACAAAAGAAATAGGCTGCCGTTACCGCAGTGGTTTCTGGGACATCTGCGTATATCGCTTTGACCAGAATGAAAATATGAATGGGAGTCCAGCATATAACAAAAACCCCTACCACAACCAGAACCAAGCGCGTGATTCGCCGAAGGTTGCGGTCTTTTTCTCGTGATCCAGAAAACAGGCGGACGCTTTTGAGCCGTAACACCATGAGCGTGTAGCAGACAGTGATGATGATGACGGGGGCAACAAAGGCGAAGATGAAGACACAAATCTTCATCATTGTGTCCCAGTACGAGTAAGGTTCTGGGAACTGGAGGGCACACTCGGTAGTACCTGCAAATTGACAAAAGTTTGAAAGTTAATATTGAATTATGAAGTGTTGTATTGAAAAAGGTTTGGGCAATATGTTGATGTTGCTGATGACAGATCTACTGCATTCTCAATTTTGTTATTTTGCATTAATTTAGGCTGTCCTGTCCTTCCTTTATGCGCCCTTATCACTAGATTTAAATGCTTCATCTCTCAGCAAATGTGTCCTTCCCTGTTCATCCAGGCTTGTCATTTCAAAGGCAGCTGACTGTTGCTGATTAGCCCATTGTTTCCGTGATGACAAATCTGCACCGTTGCCGTAGCAAATAACAATTCAATGTCAAAATACAGTTTTGAATAGTAAAAAGTCCTAAAGATGTTGCATATTAGGAAGTTGATGAGCGTAAAATTGGATTAACTGAAATGTGGTAACACATGTGGTCTGAAACCAGCTGGTCTCCATTTATAGTTACTGTAAACAGGGTTGGATCTCCACAGATCTTACCTGTAACTTGGAATGGTGACTTGCTTGTCTCCATGGATAAATGCCATACTGTGGAACATTCTATGCAAAGCAATAACATCTCCATGGAGTCAAGTTGATGGCGGACATTCCAGAAAAGTTTCATAGTATATGTTTAATTATAGAGCGCATTTATGCTTCATTGAAAGTAAATAATTGTAAAATCAGGTGATGGTAATCGGGAAACTTTTACATATTTGTTCAGAGCTCCCCAACAGAGCAGAGAAAAAGTCTGAAATATGAGGTCATTATGAAACTCCATTTGCACCAGGTACAAACTCTTTGGTCTTTAGTCCTACCAATGACATTTAGGGCCACGGGTAGTTGGGAGTCAGATATCCCTCTTATCATGAACACTTAATCTCCAGATTAGCTGTAAGAGGTTGCTTTATTTGTTTTGAACTGCATCTGCACAAAATAGGATATACAATACGTTCCATGATATTTGATATTCTAAAACAGATACTAGAGTCACTTCAGTGCGGTCCTCTAAATCTGGAGGAGCGTAGGCTCTACTCTAAGCTCCTCAAGGCCATCCAAGCACTGTGCACAAGAAAACTAATTTTTGAGAATCTTGTTATCTTGCTAGCATCCAGTAATCCAAAGGACAAGAAAGAAAACTGTTTCTAAATTAAATGTTTGGTCCCTTCTTGAGGTTTATATAACCAAAATTTCATTTTTCATTTTCTTATGTGTGGCCAATTTGGTTGGCAGGTTTAGCAGTAAAATGGAGCCATTGTGCAGTTAAATTGAAAGCTTTGTCTTCCAGTTCAAGTCTTTCTTCAGCCCTTTTCACTCCTTTGAGAGGCGTCGGCCAATGACTCCAGGTGCTGCACTGATTGTCCATTCTTCAGGAGTTAGAACATACAAGAAGCCATCATGGAAGTGTATGCTGCACAAAGAAAGCTGATTTTTTTCATCATACGTTATTATATAGGAGCATAGGCACACTTTTACGATCAATACTGTACTCATGTCTATGGGTCTTATACTGAAGGTAAATAAAAATCCCCTACCTCTCTTTGGAAGTCTCGGGCTACTTCAGGTATTCCCATGACAACATCTTAAATTACATAAACCCAAGTTAGCATATTAAAAGATTTGCTGAGTTCATCTTTAAAGGTGCAACTTTTGTGGTAAAGAGTCAGCCACCTCAGTGCTTTGCCTAGAATGTTACACAGGTTATTAATTTGTTTCTAACCTTAGAGACAAGCAGTTGGCACCACCAAGCTACGTTACAGATCTGATCTGAGGAGAGGAGAGGCTTACAGTAAGAATGATTGTATTATATTATAAATGAAAACTATTTAAATTGAGCAAATCCAAATGGACCCTCTACTCCACCTCCAATTCAAGAAAAGTTGCACATTTAACTCCTCAAAAAAGAGTCAGAGAAATAGAAACCAAATAACTTTTCAGAAATAGCAGAGTTACAGTGAGTATATATATTTTTTTCTATGGAGATGATGTTTCCTTCCCTAGAATGTTTCTCATTATGGCATTTAATTTTATTTATATCCATGGAGACACGCAGAGTTATGTATAAGGTTACCATTATTGGTCTGAGTGCTGCCCAGGATCATGGCAGGGATCCCCGCTCCGGACGACAGAACCCAGATGATGACATTGATGATTTTGGCTTTGAGCGGCGTCCTGAAGTCCAGAGCTTTCACAGGGTGACACACGGCCACGTAGCGGTCCACACTCATCATGGTCAGGGTGAAGATACTGGTGAACATATTATAGTAGTCAATGGAGATGAACACTTTGCATGCCACCTCTCCAAAAGGCCAAGAGTTCAGAAGGAAGTCTGTGCTCTGGAATGGCATCGTGGTCGTCACCAAAGCATCTGCTACAGCCAGGTTAAAGATGTAGATGTTTGTGGCTGTCTTCATTTTGGTGTATCTGTGGAAAAAGGATTTCTGATTATAAAGTATCCACATTTAGCAATTCACTTCATTCTTAGCCTTTTATCTTGATGTAGTAATGATAAAGTTAATTATGGCACAGACATCCTAATAACTTGGATGTAATGTAATGGTGCAGAGTGGGGATATTAAGGTGGAGTCTGATGACCAAAATAATAATGACCCCAATGATGAAAAAATCTTCTTAATACAATTTTTGTACAGGTCAAGGTCACAGAAATATGTAATTCTCTGTCTCACAATTTTGTGGTGTTTTTGCTTGTTTGAGTTTGTAAAGTTTCATTAAGCACATGCACTAACACATAGGGACAGAACAATAAGGTATTAGAAGTCCTGTTAGGACTAGGTGGCTCTAGACCCAGTCAAGACTGTCAATAGACTAGATCTATAGGCAGCCAGGGTTGGACTTAATTTGACTAGTTCTTAATCAAATTATTAGCTAACAAACATAGACATGGGAGTATGGGAGTCTTTAAAACTGAAATCACACTTGTAAAACCCACAGACACTCCTTCATCTCTGTGTAGAAGCTTTGGTGGGCAAGATCAGATCCAATGGAAGATCCAGTTTTAGGGTGACCAAACGTCCGTTTTTCCCCGGACATGTCCGTATTTTGCGTCCTGTCCTGGGCGTCCGGGTTTTTTTTAATAAAGTGATGCAAATGTCCAGGTTTTCAGTACCGTTCATTAAACTGAGCATCTCTCGTAGTTCTCTGTGACTCAGAAGGAGCGAGACACAAACAGTCGGTCAGCCTGCAAGATACCGAAGCGCAAAAGTGCATTTAACAATGATTTGTACAAGAAATTCTCCTGTTTTCCATCCCGGTCGGGACAAGTGGGAGTCCATGTGCACAGGTTGTGAGGTGAGAGTACAGTGTCCCTCGTTTATCGCGGGGTTACGTTCTAAAAATAACCCGCGATAGGTGAAATCCACGAAGTAGTCATCTTTATATTTTACAATTATTATATCTGTTTTAAGGCTTTAAAACCCCTCTCCACACACTTTATACACTTTTTTCAGACAGGGCAGGTGCAACCCTTTTTACTTCCTTCTTAAAACTTATTTCTGCTGTTGTCCTTTTGTTATTTTTCTCCTTCTTTATGTAACGAACTGAAGATTCATTTATTCCGTAATGGAGCCTTACAGCGCAGAGTCCTGCACGGGTCAGTTTTTGGGGACCTGCAGTACAACACCGCACCCGCCAGTACAGGACCGCACCTGCCCGTTAACCTGAGATTATCAAACTTTTGCGCTGCCTACGTCACGGACTAAACCAAGACTAAACCAGGACTAACCCAGGACTGACCCAGGACTGATTCCAGGACTGAAGAGGAGGACTAATCCACGACTGAACTAGGACTAAAACAGGACTAAACCAAGGCTAAACCAGACTCACCGTCAGGACGGGCTTGGAGATGACGACAGGAGAAAGGACCGGCTCAGCTCCGCACCTCACGGAGGTGAACGCGGCAATTGCCCGATTGCGCTTTGCGGACAAACTGCTCGGCGTTTTCTCTCTTAAATCCAAGATTAGTCCTGGTTTAGACCTGGTTTACTCCTGACTCACACGTGTGTAATTACTACCCGTCTGTAATACACAATACGCGTTCATACGCTGTAAAAAAATATATATTTAAAAAAATCTGCGAAACGGTGAGACCGATGAGACAGAGAACATTTTATTTTTGATTTTTTTTTACTGTTACTGAGTAAAAAGTTTGCTATTTTTCCTCAAGTAGATATGTAGTGAATACTGCCATTGTTCCCAGAGCCTTATCACCCCACCTTTTGGACTCTCTTCTCTCCTTTTCACTCCTCCCTATCCACTGTCCACTCTCTCTTCTGTCCACCGCCCCTTTCAACATTCCATGTTATATAAATACTGCAGTAAATGGCCACATTTTTATACAGCGCTTTTCCACCTTCAAGGCACTCAAAGAGCTTTACAATAGGAACCATTCACCCATTCACACACACATTCACACACCAGTGTACGCAGGCACTAACTTTCATTAGATATAAGAACGTGACAGAGGAGTTTTTGAAGTGGATGAAGCTACACGATCAAAAACAGCAAGCCGCTCCATTACATCTCTTACAGTGTAACCTGTTAGCATTTGACAAACTTACTTTCTTTACCAAAATTAAAGCAAAATTATGTACTTCCCTCCCATCACAATGATATAATTAGAGAGAGAGGAGAGAGAGGAGAGAAAGGAGAGAGAGAAGAGAGAGAGACATGCTGTCTGATCCCGAGGAAAATTCAATTTTGGCTGCAGAAACAAACTGCGCTTCTCTGTGTCTCCATAAAAGGTCTCAGCGCAGCATCACAGGAGGTCTGATCAGGAAGGGTCAGCAGATTCTGTGTCTGGGCAGTTTGAAAAGAGATAACCTACACATGAATTTAGGTTTTAGGCCATGGGTTTGTTTTTAATTGGTTTAGGATTGGATTTTGTGTTGTGTTTTTCATGTTTTAATGTGGCACGGTATGAAAAGGCAGCCTGATTCATCAGCTGGTTTCACTTCATGGAAACCGGCTGACCTCACAGCACTAGAATTCGTTTGCTCACTGGTAGGCGGGTACTTTATTTGATTTAACCAGTCACTACTATTTGGTCGTGATGTATGTAATGCACCGCTAATGGGGCTAACTGGTATTAAGCTTTTGCCAAATCCCATAGGAAGAAGGGCAATAACGTCTTTATCTTTGATAAAATTCACCAAACATTCTCTTTGTTCCGGCTTTAAATCCTCAATCTCAGGAACTGTTGCCAACACAGAATGTCTGCCTCTTCGCTGATTGGCTGGTGCCTGGACTCGCACTTCCAGGGTTCTTGCAAACTGTCTAGTGTATTCTGATTCCTGTCCTAGTCGCTGGAGAGAAATTAAATTGAGCGGAGGCACTAGGTGGCACCAGCCTGGCTAATGAAAAGGGGGAATCATAAAGTATGCACATTGCGCTTTACTATTAAATCTTTATCTCATTGTGGTAATGCTCAAGTTAATGACTGTGAATACCAGCTGCACACACATAGAATACAATAGAATACATTACTGCTCAGACTCAAGGACAGGACCGTGAGTTCCGGTAGCATGGGAGCTCGCGAAAATAACGCTCTGCTAACCACAAGATCCTCCTTCACACACACGCGCACTGATACACCCAATAAAATCTGTAAACACACACATCTACCCCTATGCTTTCTGGAGGGCCTGTTGCTACGCTGCTACTTATGTGAGACTCAAAAAACCCTTCTGACTTTACACTTGAGATTCATGGTCCGCTTTGATCCTTACTCCAGAAACTATCATCCTCACGGGAACATATTTTCATGTTTAAAGGTGCATGATGTAACCTTTCTTGCAACCTGCTTATCTTCATAGAGATTTTTTTGCGTTACATACATACATAACAACATATCTAACCACTTTTTTTTTTTTTCTTGCCTCTCCCGCAGATCTGAACAGTAATTTAGCCTGGTGACTAGTTTCTGTAATTAATGTTCTGCCATGCTATAGAACATCCATGACGAGAAAGTTACATAATGCACATTTAGAGCAAGGTCCTTGTTGTTGTTGTAAAAGCCACAGTAGAGAGCTCTTCTGTCACCACTACATGGGCACCCAGAACACATCACCAAGGAACTACCAAATGATTCACACACCTATTCATTTGCAGACACAACCAGATGGGGGGTCTTGCCAAAGGAAACAACAACAGACGGCAATGAGGAGAGCAGGGACTGAAGCGTGGGGTTAGAAAGCAAATGTTCCCCGTAACGAGCTATTGACGCCACAATTTCACGGTGTCAGTGTTTGACTTGTGCAACAGTGACTCAATAGGAAATAGGACTTGGGTTTCATGGGGAGTCAAAGAGGATTAGCAGAATTAAAAAGAGGACTCATGAACAGCTTTTAGCTCAAAGTGAAGTGTACACATGCAAGTTTAAATAATTGGTTCACAAATCCAGGTCACAAGTTCTGTTTGATGATGGATTGTGGCTAACCAGGTTCAGTTCCAGCTTTGGCCTGCCAATAATTTTGTTGTATCTATGGGCAGGACACTTCACCCATCTTGTCTAAGTATGAATGCAATGTTAGTTAATGATTGGTGGTGGCTGAAGCAGTTCCTGTGCAGACTGGGAGCCAATAGTCAACTTTGAATTTTGCGAGTGAATACAAAGTGGCATTAAACTATAAACAGATGCAACTTAATATTTAGAACACAAATATAACTACTAACTAACTATAAAACTACTTTCACAACAGCCAACAATGGTTTAATTAGTATGTGGGTATCCTGTCTGTTATCATTGTCAGAAATTGTACATGAATTCTTTAAAAAATTCATAAATTTTGACATTTTGTGAATACTTTGAGAATGATTTTGATAGAAGTAGTATAAGACTACACTGTAATATTAAAGAACATATTTTTGTAACCTAACCAGTGTGCTATATCTCCTGTTCCAATTAGAAAGACTGCCATACCAAAACTAGCCAGGCTGGTGCCACCTAGTGCCTCCGCTCAATTTCATTTCTCTCCAGCGACTAGGTCAGGAATCGGACTACACTAGATGGTTTGCAAAAACCCCGGAAGGGCGAGTTTGGGCACCAGCCAATCAGCGAAGAGTCATACATTCTGTGTTGGCAACAATTCCCGGGATTGAGGATTTAAAGCCGGAACAAAGAGAATGTTTGGTGAATTTTATCAAGGGGAAAGACGTTATTGCCCTTCTTCTTACGGGATTTGGGAAAAGCTTAATATACCAGTTAGCCCCATAAGTGGTGCATTACATACGTCACGACCAAATAGCAACAATTGGTTAAATTTTAAAAAGTACCTGCCTACCATCGAGCAAACTAATCCTAATGCTGCGAGGTCAGACGGTTTCCACAAAGTGAAACCAACTGATGCATCAAGCTATACCAAAGCCCCTTGGTTGTTTCTATGAAGGTGTTATAAATTTCCCTAAAATGTTTCTTACGGCAGCATTTATACTATCTATCTCCATGGATACAAGCTGGTGGTTCTACCAGTCAAAGTTACAGGTCAGACCTGCGGAGAGGCAGTTAATAATACAAATTTATGGTATTATGGTCAATAAAACAGCCAATCAAATAACTGCATTACACAAAGATGGCTACTGTGAGCTTTTAGCAATGTTATAATCAAAAATATGCCTGGAGTTATGTTTTGTTTCATTTGTACACACATGTTTGAGTATCTCTGCATTATTAGTCTGTCTTCATCTTCAAAGCTCAAAATGCTCTGTTCCACCATGTGATGTCATGAAGCTGTAGTTACCAGCTACCTTTTTGCTTTTGTTCTGTAGAGAGTGGAAATACCAGTGCTGAAATCATCCAAATGATTCTAGTGAAGGTGTATGGAGTTTAAAAACACACTGGAGCACTTCCTGTATACCACATGACAGCATAAAATGGAACAGAGTGATTTCTGCTTGAGAGAAGGACCCAGCCTAAATATGCAGGATTTGTGTGTTAAACATCTTAATGAAACAAAACACAATTCCATGTGTTTGTGATAAGAAAACAACATTATAGGACAGATCAGAAAATAGCATAATATGGGTCCTTACTGTTGAACTGAAAAGACAAGGATGCACCCATCTGTATAAAAAGCTACATTGTGCACTTTTAAGTACAGCTATTACTCTACACTAATGTAATTCTCAAGGGCTTTCATTGCTCTGTACTTACATTTCCTGTCTCAAAATGTGTTCTGAACAAGTGTCATTGTGCAACTAACAGAGGCCACTATCTGTACCTGGAAGGGGGAAAAATACTTGTTTGCGCAGGCTCGAGGACATGGGGATTGGTGAAAACAGCAGTAGCACCTGAGGCTAGCTTTGTGACACTGGCATTAAAGGGAAGGGGCTAATTGACAATGACAGCGTTTATTGGGTTAAGCAAAGGCCCAGTGGCATAATGATGTGTATGATAATGGTTGTCAAGTTATATTAAAGCTACAGTTTGGTTAATATTTAGGATTAAAGGTTCTATATTATGTGAAATTGACTCTTGTGAGCTTAGTCATGTCACAATGCTGTTACGCCATCAAAAACATACATGGAGTTGTGTTTTACTTTATTCGCACATGTAAGTAACTCTGCATTATTATTCTGTTTACTTCTCCAAAGCTCAAAATGCTCTGTTCCACCTTGTGATGTCATGAAGTTTTCATGTTAACAGCTACCTTTTACCTTTAGTTCAGTAGAGATTGGCAATTCCAAGTCTGAAATGATCCAAATGATTCTAATGAAGGTGTATGGAGTTTAAAACACAGTGGAGAACTTCCTGCATTATCACATGACCTCAACAGGGGGGTAGAGTGTTTTCTGTTGCTATGCAGAGTTTGTGTGTTAAATATGTGTGAATGAAACAAAACACAACTCCAGGTATGTTTTAATGAGGAGACAACATTATAACATAGATCTGAAAATTGTTTAATATGTGGGCCCTAAAATAAAACTAAAATAAAATAAAACTCTAAGCTGTGTTATACGATGTTGAAATAATAGTTTCAGATATTATATAGGTGAGATGACAGAGAAAAGTACAATATTTACAAAGATGAGTGTATGCAGCCTATGTTTTATAATGTAAAACATAGGCTACGACTCACATTAGTAGTATTATTATTATTAGTTTTTACGTTTTATTATCATGGTCTAAAAGACAAATTTATCATTCCACATTGCTTAATCAGTTCTCACTACTGTACTATTAAACTGTCAGGTACCAGTCACTCTATGTCTTAGTGTTTACTTTAAAAATTTTACCTTCTTTCTGTTCTGTTGTTGCCTAAAAGGTTACGTTTATTGAAAGAAGCTCCCCCAAGGATTTCACTCTAGTTTCAATGACAATGTACCTTACTTGCAAATATGATTTCTATAGAAAATTGGTTTTATAATGCAACCACTCTACGCATTAGAAAATAAGTGAACATTTGAACAGGTACTGTATATAGTTCACCGTACATTATGTTCTGCCTATTTCTCAGTCACTTTATGTAATGGACATTTTACTGCATGGAGGTCATACAGAGCTTATTTAAAAGGCCTGTACTATGCTATTTTCTGATCTATGTTATAATGTTGTTTCCTACATAAAACATGCCTGGAGTTGTGTTTGTTTCATTCACACATGTTTAATACACAAATTCTGCATATTTAGGTCGAGTTCTTCTTTGTATGATATTTTCAGGATACACATCTCACGGTACAATATTTTATGCGATATTCTGTGGAGGCTGCGAACAAAACTGTGAATATGCTACTTTTTCCTTTTAAAATGCCTTGACAAGATTGAATCCAATGAACTAAGACTTAAAAGTGCTTAGAACTGTTATTTCTTCTTGTAGTCTACACTTAAATGGAGAAAAGGATCATGGTCTATGTAATTCTCGCTGTCTTTATTTAGTTATTGCTGCACCATAACTCATAATTTAAGCAAAAGAGACTTGTAATTCGATATATTGTGATGGCCCACGATATTATTGTGAGAACTTTGATGATAAGATATCACAACATTTCGGTTATTGTTACATCCCTAGTAATACAAGAAGTGCTCCACTGTGTTTTTAGACTCCGTACACCTTCACTAGAATCATTTGGATGATTTCAGCCCTCGAATTGCAAAACTCTACTGTATAAAAGGTAAAAGGTATAGCTAATAACTTGAACTCTACCATCACATGACATCATAAGGTGGAACAGGACATTTTGAGCTTTGGAGATGTAAACAGACTTATAATTTACTCAAACAAACAAACAAACATAGCTTTATAATATTCTAACACAGCAAAAAGTACATTTATTTGTATCAAAATCTGCCAGTTTTTCTAAACCCTTTAATTCTTTAGCATGTGCATTATAAAAGACAGTTTCTGGTGCTTAATCCAGGAGCCTATACATCTAAATCTCCATTTAAAAACAATGCATTTGACTTTTCCCCACTAATTAGTGTTCAAGCGTGGCTCCTAAACTACTAGGCATTAATAAACATTAGCGCCTCTGCAAAACAAGCTGCGTTCTCTGTGAGTGCCATTTTCGTACGCCCTGTAATTACGCACGGGTTAAAACGAATGGCATTATCAAACACAGTCGTTTCTAAAGCACGGACACTTACCTTATAATCACGTACATGACCAGGCAGTTGCCCACTAAGCCCACCACGAAAACCACGGAGTACACAGCCACTATGATGGGGATAATAGGCGACATTGGCTCTGCGTCCGACTCCCAGGTGCCATTGGGTGTGTAGTTGAACATATCCGATAGCGCGGGCTGCCAAGTAAAGTTTGGGAGGCAATCGTCCGGATGACCCGAGGGACACCGGTCTTCTTTGAAAATATGAACCACTCCGTTAGCCATAGCGCCGGGTGTTGAGAGGAGACCAGACCGAGACGCGTGCGCACCGGACTGGGCAGCTGGGCGTAAACTGACCGCTCAACAGGAGTCAAACCAAGACAAACAACACGAATCTAAACAGAGAGAAAGAGAGTCTATATGAGTACACGAGTACCTATATCTCCAGAGCGCATCAACAGCTGCCAGCGAGTGTTCAAGGACAGCGCAGTTTAATGAGCACAATAAGCCTTACCTGGTTGACAAAAAGTTCACACGAGCAGTAATGGGAAAACCAAAGAACTCATTGAAGGTATAAACATGGGTAAAAACGGGAAAGCAGAGCGGTGAGACTGGTCCAAGCGTGTGCCACTGCTGCGTCCCCGAATGCGCGCGTTGGAGGTTTGCAGCACTCAGTGACATCAGAAAAAACTACAGACCGAAGCAGGGTAGCACCTCAATACTGCGATGCAATCATTTTATAGAATCAAAATTCAAAATAAAGACTATAATCAAGCTTAAATGAACTACTCTGGAAATGGATAAAGTAGCTAGATTACAGAAAAGTTAACACTGTAAAGGTCTGTTTGTGAGTGTTATAACATTCCCATCCTTTTCAAGCTTTGAGATGTTCCCTAGCAACTCCTGACAGTCTGAGCTGCTGCAATGCAAAGCAGCACCTGCAGAGAGGCGTTGACGAGGATCCCAGGACTGTATGGATTTTCCCATTTGGTCTCAGTGAGTTAGTTAGATACATGTTAAGAGTATGGGCAGTAAAATCGATCACACATAGTAACCTGAAAGCTGTCACAGAGTAACCTTTACCTGCTAATTAGTGGTGGGCAATATGACAAACATATCAGTCCCAAGTCTGAACAAATAGATATAGTAATTCAAACTAAAAATAAGATGTTTGCTGTGGTGGTGCCAATTTTTTTTTTTTTTTTTGACATTTCTTTCTCACCTCAGCAAATATTTAGCTGGGCTTGTGGGTGGGTGGTTTTGATTGGGAAACATATTTTGTTTTTAAATATGCACTTCATTCATTCACTCCCACACCCACAAACACACACACACACACACACACAGTTAGTTATTATGGGTCAAATATACACTGGGATCCAGAATACACACTACTCCAGTACTTAACAAAGATGTAAGATAAGGTAAGTGTAAGAGAATTTAAGTAATTTAGCTTCCATGTACATCTCAGTTTAACATTGATTCACAAAAGTTATATTTACACCATGATCTTCCCTTGGCATACCATTGGCATACCATTATCTAAAATGTGAATATTGATGTCTAACTGGTGTCTACTGGCCTTCATAGTCTCACCACACTTGCTTTATAAACCTCCTCCTTTGGAAGCATAGTCAAGGGGCTTGAACACTCAAAGACCACTGTGTTCACATTTGAAATCATATTATGTTGACTTTTCAAGTCTCCAGGCCTGTATTATTGATGCTAAATAAACTTCTCCTGCTTAAGACATCCTGTTGGTCTCCAGCCTTTTACTTCCACTCTTTCTTGGACAAGCTGAAAACTTTGACAACAGGAAGGTAAGTTAGTGCACATTATTGTAGAGAAATTTGTTCTCTGCATTTGACCCATCCTTCAATGCCCCTGAAGCTTCTCCTCAGTGAGAACCACAGTGCAGTGCTTTGGGACACATCTACCTGAGTCAGGACTACCTTAACTGGAGGACTTTACCTATGGTGCATGTTTTGGGTTGTGAGTCAGGTCACCAATGCATGTCCCTGAGTTCAGATTATCATGATTGGTTTGATTGAGTTATGTGTTTATTTTGGGCAAGTAAGAAACTTACATTCTTTTACAACAGAACTTATAGCATTAATGAAATCATAGCAGAAATAACAACAACAAATAAGAAAAAAATGGCCCAAAAGGAGTGGGAAGAAGAAAATGTATTAATCTCACCCTCCTCTTCTAATCTAACACAAAGAGCTATATGAACTATTTACAAGTGTGGACAAAGAGTCACTGTTATGGTTTGGTAACTACCTAGTTTGGTAGTTTGGATTGGCAGGTGGATTAGCCAATCAGGGACACGAATGGACTTTTTAAATCCAAAAAAATTATAAACACTTACTAGGAAAAAGAAAAACATGATATCACAGGGGGAATTTAATTTTGTTCAGAATGGAGACCACTGAGCTCCTTCATTTCACATGCATCACTGAAATAAACAAATCTGATCAAACCTTAAAACATGCACCAGGGACTACAGGTGGAAATTAGCTCTATTGCTACAACCTGACACAATACATCTCTCCTGTTAAGGTTAATGTATTTTGTGCACTGTCCCTGTCTCATAAATAAACTAAATAAAATAAAATAATAAATCACATGGCTTTGTTTGGAGCCTGGCTCAAGGTGCAGCCCGCCTGATATGACACCCTCTGCATAAAAAATACTAAGAGATATCGTTCTGGACTTGCCAGGCTATAAACTGTGAATTTCATTTCATTTATCTTTATTTATACAGGAAGAATCCAATGAGAATACAACACTCTCTTTTTCATCAGAGCCCTGTTTAGACAAAACAAACAAAACAAATCACTGCACAGGTCCATTTAAAACATTTAAAATAAGTGCAGGTGTGATTATAGATAAAACTTCCACTTTTCATTCCAAAGTTTTGCCCTTTTCTAAATAAAATACTCTCTCATGATTGATTATTTTATCCAAAGTAATGTTCTACAATCTCAAAACCAAATATGACAGTTGGCTCTAACATAACAGCTATCTGGATTATTTCATGACACTAGATGAAAACATCCATTTATCCATTTATTCATCATTATTCATCAGCATCATTCATCCATTTATTGACATTAGATAAACCCACTGGAGACAGTGGTTATCTTGATTTCAAAGAGAGTTTGGAAGTTTGTTTTATGGTGAAACAAAGTGAGATAAGAAAAATAACCAAGCAATCAAAATGTTCCATGATGCAGCAAGAGGAATGGTTTTGTTTGGTAATCACTGTAAGATAAATTTTACGTTTGAGCTGCAAGACAGAATTGAGTCCAAAGATTACTTGATTTTTGTGGAAGATTTTAGTTGTGTTTGCTGTGAAAGTGTACTGTGTAATTTTTCTTACTTCTTTCCATAAATATATTGTTGTTTGCCGGAATGTTGCAGTGTATGGCATTAAACGAATGCATGTTGCATTTATTCCATCACAGGTTTTTATATTGCTAAAAATAACATTGAACAACATGCATTTCTTTGAGTGGGGCCACCTCTCCACAGATCCAACCTGTAACTTAGCTGTCCTTGTCTCAATCGAGATAGTTAAGTTAAATGTCATACTGTGAAATGTTCAAGGCAAAGCAATAGTATCTCCATGGCGACCACCAAAAAAGTTACATAGTGCACCATTACAGTTTTTTTAATTTATTTTTTTCAATCGCTTTGGCACTTTGGTATTTATCTTTTCAAAACTGGGATTTACAAAACATCTCACGCAATGCAGTTTTTCATTCAAAACTGATCAATCATTCCCCAAAAGCAAGTTTTATCATCAAAATTCTCACTGGGGTTCACACTTTACACAGATGAATTTTGGATTGGAAAATCTTTGCTTTGTCTAAAGCCTGTTTGTATTGTATAATGTAAAATAAAATGTATGTACACATGACCAATTCCAACTTCGATTTTGTAGTATCTGATCAAAAATATTTATTCTTTAGAAAATTTAAAGATGTTGGAATAGCAAATACATCAACACTACTTTTGTAATGTAATATGTGCTCTTGAAAATCAAACAAGACATTTACACATCTCACAGTGTGGCGTGTGTATATACATGTATACACATCACAGTGTGTATATATCTGTGTGTACATGTACACATCACAGTGTGTATATATTTGTGTACATGTACACATCACAGTGTGTATATCTGTGTGTACATGTACACATCAGTGTGTATATCTGTGTGTACATTTACACATCACAGTGTGTATATATTTGTGTACATGTACACATCACAGTGTGTATATATTTATATACATGTACAAATCACAGTGTGCATATATTTGTGTACATGTACACACATCACAGTGTGTATATATTTATATACATTTACAAATCACAGTGTGCATATATTTGTGTACATGTACACACATCACAGTGTGTATATATTTGTATACATGTACACATCACAGTGTGTATATATGTGTGTACATGTACACATCACAGTGTGTATATATTTATATACATGTACAAATCACAGTGTGCATATATTTGTGTACATGTACACACATCACAGTGTGTATATATTTGTGTACATGTACACACATCACAGTGTGTATATCTGTGTGTAGCCTCTAGTCTGTTTGTATTCTAGCTCTCTCTGTCTGATGCTTGTGGGAACTCCTTCGTTGTTAGATTTTAGGTGCTCACAAATAGTACATTTTTGCCATTATGTCTGAATTTCTATTTCAAAAGTGACAGTGTTACGGCCAACATCCTTTACCACATGAGAACAGATGTGTAGTGTTGAAAAAACAAAAGCTGAATTCATTAATCATGTACTTATGTTTATGAATAAAAGCTATGTCAAGTGTTTTGAGAAAGAGCCTGAGAACTGGGTGAACTCATGAGAACTGCTCCAAATGATGTGACCTCCTGATGTTTTTGATGCTCTTTTTATTCTCTTTCATGTGATATCCAAACTCAAATACTGTATGTGGGTAGGTGGACAAAGTGCTGCTTGGTAATAGAGACCAGCAATAAAAGTAATGACAATATACCTGCCACAGTGATATGTTTAAAAATAACACGAGGTAAATCATGAGTCACATTTATCTAACTCAACTATGTTTAAAAATGTCAATGTATTTTATCAGTGAAAAGGTTAGAAAAGAATCTGAAGACAAAGTTACAAAAAAAATGAAGTTTTTTTTTTTTAAAGCAAACAGAAGCAGCATTGACATAGCATTGAATAGCAAGTAATATCAAGAAAAATAGTTCAATGTGCAATTTGATTAAAAAGC